TAAAAGTTTGTCATCTATTAACCAAAAAACTAAAACAAAACAAAACAAAACAAAGCAAAAAAACCCCACTGACTTCAAAGGGGAGTCAGCCATTTGCAATATATTTTAAAAGAGCAGTGCCAAGTATTCTTGGCACTGAAGACACAAAAACAAATTGACAAAATACAGGAATTAAACTAATTCTTCAGGCTCAGATAAGTGCCTTTCCTGCACAAGAGTTCAGTGTCTTTAACAGATCGGCATTGTCCTTTATTTACTCATGAAACAGGCACATCAAAGGGGTTGCAAGTCTGGGCTTCCCTATGCAACTCTACCTGGCCACAGCATCCCGGAGTTGAGATTCATTTTGGCATCCATTCAGATCTAAAAATGCCAGCAGAGCTGCTAATTAGCTCCAATAAAGGTACTGATTTTTATTTTCCAGGCACATGCCAATTTAGGAAGTAGGCTGAAGCCATTAATAATTTCACTGCTGATCAGAGCCAAATTTGAAACCATGTTCTCAAGGTGCTGCAAGCTTTTATTAATCTCTTTCATCTCTCCCTCCCCCATTATATCCACATTTGAATAGGCATATCTAAAAGCTAATCTTTTCCCTTATTCAGATGCAGCTTCTCTTCCTATGAATGGGACTTATACGCATGCATCATAGAAATAGATTCCTTAATGGTCCTTATTAAAGCCACAAAAAAGGATTTTTAAGGCCATATCTCAGGTTTTTTACTCACTAGATAATGCCAGCTTAGTTATTAGAGACATCTACTATCAGCGAATGATGCACGCAGTCTCCTGCAGCAGAATTTATATAGGAAGGACCTTATTTCAGTCTCCCATTCACATGCATTAGCTGGTGAGTACTGCTAATTTGCAACAGCACATGGGTGATTACAATCCCCCCCTGCCATGCTAAGAAAAGGGCAGAATTTTCCTGCTTTTGAATCAATTCCTAAACTTCTTCAAACACAGACTCCGGTGATGTTGCTATATAATTTTATATAGTCTTTTTTTCTACACTTATTAAATAAAATGAAGATCCAGAAAGCATCATGATGAGGTCTGAGGGAGAATATAATACAGACTCTTCATCGCTATTTTGGTGGATGAAGTCCTGAGGCTATGCAACTCAATGAGAATTTTGCCATTGATTTCAACAGGGGCAGGGTTTCATCAAAGATGTTTATCGACTTGAAATTTTTACCCTCCGATGGCTGCTCAGGTGTCTGGACAAAACGATTTCATGGGTTCACTCCAGCTGTGGATGGAAATACTCTTCCACCCTCCCTAGCATATTCAGAGGCAATACCGCAGACAGAACAACTGCTGCCTGGACAGGTCAATGGAGCTACCCTCTCCCATGGCTGAAAACAATCCCTGTCATTGAAGGAGTGCCGGTGCTCCACATATTGTAACTACCCTATCGAGACAAGCCTAATTTCCAGAACCATTAACCCAGCTCTTTTATTGAGCAATGCATTGATAGTGAAAGGTAGGCTGACAAAAAGAAAGCAGCTTAAGATCTTCAGAATCAGGGAGCAATGCAACAGATGGACCTGGGCAGGTGTGCTATCAATCACGTCTCTTACACCGTAGATAGATACATAAAACATGAAGGCCCAATCTGAAATTCGTTCACGTCAATGGGATTCCTTTTCTTGGCTGCCATGGGCTTGGACTTGGACCTTGATTTATTATTAACGCACCTCACCCGATTTTCAGCAAACAAGTTTACAATTTTTGCCGGGGTTCAGTGATCTATATTTGAAACAAAGAAGCACTGAGACTGCTCATGGTATCCTAGGGCTGGTTTTCATCCTCCCTGTGGATGAAAAATAGCAGTAATACTGGTGGGCCATCCATAGCAGAGATTTGTTCCCTTTGCAGCTCTATCTTTGCACGTGTAATTGAACATGAGGCGTGGGCAATAAAAAGTATGTTTCTTATTGCTAGGTGCAGTTTCTATCTTTATGATTTAGTTTGCTATGGGAGCACCTACAGCTGAGTACACAGCCAAGATGCTTACTGAGAGTTATCACTGCCTGGATATTTTGTCAGTTATTGCAACCACGACTAAATAGATTTGGACTCCTGTTTAATAAAGTCCGCGCTTTTATTATCCAGTCTAGAAAGAAGCAATAGGAAACCCCTTTTCTCCTCTCTTTTCACATCCCATCTAAACAAATGATTATTACTTCTATGCCATCTGTTCTGCATCCCCTATCACATTGAAAACAACCTTTTTTTTCCATTGCGCTTTCGAAACCTAGATGGGCAAAGGGGGAGGGACATGACAACCAAGAAGAAGAAGAAATTAGCCAAGAATAGTTTATGGAGATTCAACAATAGTTCAGACTGACCCTGGAGTGGAAGGTCTGGTTGGTTCAAGTTTTATTTCAATCAACTTGCCCTTTCCTACAGTGGAAAGGTACTGCACACATTCCTGCTGAAAAAAAACATGTGTTCACCATGTCACGGAAAAATTGCTTCTGTTTTTAAAAAAATACCACATCTAGATGAGGCTCTGACCAGGACTGGAAATGTCAAAATAGCATGGTAAAAAGAAGAGTGGGTTTGGTCAAACACAAAGCAGGATGAAGGAATCAACTATCATGTGAAACCACCCTTTCTTGCAAGTTTATTAATCTAATTTTGCAGGCCTGTGAGATTCAGGGCTGGTGCTGATTAAATGACCAAACATTTACCTCAATAACACTGCTGACTTCAGAGCCTTCCCCCACTCATTTATATTCCTTCTCCCCCTACATTATTTATCAATGACCCTTTGCCCGCAAACCAGAGGTTCTTGGAGAGCACAAGCAGCTTTGCCTTGGGGATTAGTCAGCTGTTTGGGATGCTGGGGAACAGATGTTTCCTACAGCCAAAATTTGCTCTCGATCCAACTCGTGCTGACTTAACAACTTCGGAGACAACAAAGAGTCGCATTATTTGACTAAGCTTTAACGCAACTGAGTGCATTTATATTAGCCAGAAATTGATTGAGAGCAGGTTCAGGCTGGACATCAGGAGGCATTACTTTACGGTGAGGGCTGCCAGGCTCTGGAATGGGCTCCCAAGGGAGGTGGTGCTCTCCCCTACCTTGGGAGTCTTCAAGAGGAGGTTGGCTAGATATCTGGCTGGGGCATTATGATCCCAGCACTCATTCCTGCCCAGGGCAGGGGATCGGACCTGATGATCTGTTTAGGTCCTTTCCGACCCTAGAAACCCTAGAAACTATATGTTACAAAATTAATACAGGTCTCATGGAATCCAGGGACCACAGGTGGAAACAACATGCCACCCTCTCGTTGTGTACTTGCAAAACAATAATTAACGCAAAGCTAATTCTTCAAATGAACAGAAGCAACAGCAGATAAAGATACTTACGTAAGTGGGGATTGACTGGAGCTGGAAGACAAAAAGAAGAGACCCAAATTAGTGTCACCTGAAAGCATTTGTATGACCAAGTCCCCTCGCTATCTTATGGGATTAACTGCATCCATCTCAGAGCCCAGATCATTGCACACTGTGAGGGTGAGCAGCACAGGTAGCTTCCTTCTGGATCAAAAGGGCTTTGCTTCTCACCTGCCAAAAGTATCAGTGCTGGGTGGTAGGAGATATTCCTTTCCTTCCCAGGGTGAGCATGCTCCCTTCACAGATGGAGAAGCAAAATGGCAATTTCAGGCATCAAACCTAGATACAGCCATCATTAAACTCTAGAGAAGGAAGGAGCTGTCAGGCGAACTGCATGCCACCATCTTGGTGCAAAGTCTCTTGAAGATGAAGCCAACACATCACAGGACAACAGTATGTCTCACCAAATCAGTCCCTACATAGGTTTTGTTCCTCACTTAGCATCTGCTTCTAGCAGTACATCAGCTCTCCTTAGGGCAGAGGATTTTGTCTGTAATAAATACGTTCTCCCGGATTCAAAAATGAAGGTATGTAAAATGTCAAGACCTATTACTTCATCCTAAATCAAGCGACCAAATGCTATTTTGTTGCAGGCTCTTTGAGAGATGATATTATGGCTGAAATAACAAAAGTGCTGTTTGTTGGTACAGCTCAGCAAATGAGAGTCTCAGGAAATAATGAGAATTTGTGTCTGTCCAAAAATGCCAATATAATTGTCAAACAAAAGAAGGAATATGTAGATTTTTTTAAAAGTAAAAGACACTGTGATGTAAATGAGGCATTCTGTTCTAAAATTATGCATGCAATACTTGCATGTACGTTATTTTTCAGTAGTTATGTTATATATCTGTCATCGTAAGGCTGAAGGGTTTACAACCACTGGCCAAGAAATAAATTAAACACATTTCTGAAATGCACGATTGAAATCTCATCTAGGAGACTACTATGCATATCACAGAAGGATTATCAGTCTGGAAGGGTAAAAGAGTTATTTTATAAAACATTTACAGTAATTATTCTACTCATCTATACACATTGTAGGACAGGAAGACCCAATGATTTCGAGTCTCTGAGAACATCAGATAAAGCATGTTTTTCATTTGACAGATTTTTGGCCCACCTGCTTTGAATTCCCTTCCCTCCCTGACTTCGCTAATCTGCAAAACTATTTGTTGTCATGATTTAGTTCTTAATTCAAGCAATTTTATTTGTGAAGTTAATCAAGCAAGACAGAAAGCTGACACGTTTATGACTAAATTGTGGAAGAAGTTTGCCGAAAGCTGGGGCCAGTACTATGCATCCATTAAGACAGTCAAAATGAGGTGCAAGTGTCTTGTGAGCTGAAACGCTGTGCCCATAGCCCTTACTCAGGTGAGCACTGCTCCTGGGGGACTGTAGGAGCAAGGCTACAATCAGAAAGGCGCAATTACCTTCCAGATCCTGCCCGACTAACCTGATCTCTTTTTATGACCAGGTCACGAAGTGCTTAGACGCAGGAGTGGAAGTAGACATTATTTACCTGGATTTTAAAAAGGCTTTTGACACAGTATCACACCTAATTCTTACAAGCAAACTGAGCAGCTGCGATGTGGATTTTTTCACAGTAAGGTGGGGGAAAAACTGGCTTATGGGACGCACTCAGAGAGTGGTGGTGGATGGGCAGGTCTCTCCCTGGAGGGTTGTGGGCAGTGGGGTCCCCCAAGGCTCTGTCCTTGGACCAGTGCTGTTTAATATCTTCATCAGAGATTTGGATGAAGGTGTTGAAAGCACCCTGTCCAAATTTGCAGATGATACTAAACCATGGGGTATAGTAAACACACTGGACGGTAGGGAGTGAATGCAGGCAGATTTGGACAGACTGGGCAAGTGGGCAGATCAGAATAGGATGCAATTTAACAAGAACAAATACAAAGTGCTGCACCTGGGGAGAAAGACTCTCCAACACACCTATAGACTCGCGGGTACCAGACTGAGCACCACGACCGTGGAAAGAGATCTCAGAGTCCTGGCTGATGCAAAAATGAACATGAGCCGCCAATGTGACGAGGCAATAAGCAGGACTAACCGCACTCTGTCTTGCATCAGCAGGAGCATCACGAGCAGGTCTAGGGAAGTGATAATTCCCCTCTACGCGGCACCGGTCAGGCCGCAGATGGAGTACCGCATCCAGTCTTGGGCGCTGCACTTCAAGAGGGATGTGGATAACCTTGAGAGGGTTCAGAGGAGGGCTACTCGCATGGTGCAAGACCCTATGAAGACAGACTGAGGGACCTGAATCTCTTCAGCCTCCACAAGAGAAGGCTGAGAGGCGATCTTGTGGCTGCCTACAAACTGATCAGGGTATAGGGGACACTCTGTTTAACAGGGCACCTCTCGGGGTTACCAGAAATAATGGCCACAAACTGAAGGAGAATAGATTTAGATTGGTCATAGGGAAGAACTTCTTTACAGTAAGGGTTGCTAAAATCTGGAATGGGCTCCCAAGGGAGGTGGTGCTCTCCCCTGCCTTGGAGGTCTTCAGGAGGAGGTTAGATAGGCATCTGGCTGGGGTTACTTAACCTCAGCACTCTTTCCTTCCTGGAGCAGGGGGTCGGACCCGATGATCTGCCAGGTCCCTTTTGACCCTAGAAATCCATGATTCAGTGAAATACCGGCCGTCTAATTCTTTCCCCACCTAAAACCAGGATAGCTGCTGTAGTGCAGCTGGAGAAAGGCAGGCATCCGTACTGTAACCCCATTGTTCAAAACAGGCTTTGTTCCATGTTTTGTTGCCCAGATGCACTGTTTTATTTATGGGCACAAACACTTCACATGTGACCTTCATTCACAAACTCGGCTTCGGTCTGAAGTTTTAAAAAGATCTCTCTTTTAACAGCTTTGCTGCTTTATCTGACTTTATCCAGAAGAATGATCAGCAATTTTCCCCAGTGTAATTTTCCAAAGAAACTTAGTCATTACATTATATTAGATACCTCATAGCATTCACTAACAAATTACCTTTCATTCTCCAAGAAACATTCATTTTGTGTACTTCTTGAGTGGCTGAACTTGGAATTAGCTGAAATTGCTGGAAACTGCATTTACTGACGCTTGCTTTGTAACCTCACAGAGAGGCTTTTATAGAAACTATCATTAATGGGTAACCTTGAGCCATGCTTTTCAGATTGTTCACAGTGCAGCCAAAAAAAGAAAAAAGGCTGGGTGCCAAGTAAACTTCATCTTGCATTGACTGACAAAAGCAGAATAACGAATGAAACCATGGTTAGGCTAAACTTATATACGCATCATGAACTGACAAAAAAAAAAGCACTTGCCTAGACAATGCAACAAGCAGGTATAAAACAGGGCCACATGATTCTCAGATTCTCATTCCCAAAAGGGGAAGTTGCTGTATGGGCCAGAAGTAGCAAGTAAAATTAGCCGTGAAGGGAAACGAATGGATGACTGAAGGGCTAAATTCCCAAGGTTGCGTGTGAACGATCTAGAAAATCTCTGAAGCTGAGAGTTATCACCATTCAAGTCCATTCTCCCTGATATGACTGCTCAATTTGAAATGCACTCTCAGAACAGAAAGCAGAAGGATAACGTTACTGGATTCTCCTACATCCACTGCACTTGGTTATCTAGGCCGTGTGTAGACAAAACAAGAGGCGTGTGTGCACAACATTTTAAAGCAGGCTAAACGCTTTTGCACTGCTTTAATGGTGCCGGTGTTTGCACGCCTTGGCGGCATATTGCGCAATAATTCCAGCCGCTGTAGGAAATGCCCCTTAAATGACTTGGGGTGCAGCAAACTCAAACTCCTCCCAGGAGGCTTAGTTTGCTGCCTCTATAGTCGTGGGGCGAAGCACCGGGCTCCGTGCAGCTCCGGGGCTCTGCAGGAAGCCCTGCAGGCAGCCCGGCAGCAGCCTGGGAAAGAAACTCCACCCATGACAAGTGGCAGGCCAAACCCACCACTTCAATTTAGGGCCCCCGTTTAGTCTACACACCCCCTTAGCTGCCTTCCAACTCAGAGCTGTGGGGGGTCAAACCGCACTATAGCCTCACAATTTTAGGTGTGGAGATCCATGCTCTTGCAGATTGTACCACACCAGGCTTGTATTTCTGTACTGAGGGTCGGCAACAAAGCTGTTACAGCATCTTATTTTAAGTTCCAGCTGTAAGAGGTCAAGGCCATGCCCAGCTGGCCCCGTGATAATTAGATACCTGGTCATTTGGCCTGAGGCCACTGGATGTGATGCCAGGCATATCCCTCCCTTGTACGCCATTGCCTACAGGAATTAACATCCTTTGATCAGGCTTCTTTAGGGGCCATTAGACTTGGAAGATGCTTTGACCCCATCCCTATATTTTCAACTCTTTTTTTCAGATTTGATCTCTATTTCAGTCTGACAAATTCTTTCAAGACTAAAAGCCGAGTTAAATAACAGTTCAGGTAGCCTTCAAAACTCCCAAGGAGAGCACAACACATTACATGTCTCATTCAAAACACCAAACAAACCAAACACTGGTCTTGGATGGTCATAGCTGGGACTATTAAATATACAGGATTGATTGGTTACTGAACTACCATATGTTTTATTATTGGCAACTGAATAGTACTGCAAGCCCTCAGTCACAGCTGGGGTCCCTCTGTGCCAGGCACTGTACATACACATGGTGAGAGAGCTACTTCTTTGAACAGTTTATGTTCTAAATAGTCAAAAAGTATCTTGATGCCCACTCAAAAAATGTCTTGACACCAAACATTGCTGGGGTCATTTGATCCCAGCAGTCTTTCCTGCCCAAATGCAGGGGGGGCTGGACCCGATGATCTGTAAGGTCCTTCCAGCCCCAAGAACTATGAAACTATGAAAGACAAAGAAAGAAGGGAAGAAAGGAACATTGAAGTGGATTAAGCTCTGCTTAATTGTTGAAACCTACTTTAACACTTGCCAGTAACTCACCCCCATATCCAGGAAATGTCTCTTTATCCAAAAAAAAAAATGGCCTTTAACTTGTACAGCCCCATACCCGCCCTCCAGTCTTACTTTCCAAGAGCCTGATCTTGCTACTTGATCTTCGCAGCTGTGCAGTCACCTATGGTCGGCTTTGACTCCAAAAACTACCCCTTAATAGTTGCATTCTGTACTACTTAGTCGAAACCAGAGCTTTTTTGGAAAACCTTTAGCATTTCCTGAATGCGACGTGTAGTATATGCTGAGTGCCTGGGTTTGTTCGGTGCACCCTACCTGTTCTAGACAGGTGTACCAGGACTCCGTTCTAGATACTCTAAATAACTTTCCCTGATAGTTTTGGATTAGTGAGAAGCAGCTTAATTTTGAAAATAATTGCTGCTTAATTACTTTTTAATAGAAAAAAAGTACTTTTTCAGGTTCTAATTGGAGGAGCTGAAGGTTCAGATGTTTAACAGTCACCTTGTTTCAAACAGGCCTAGGCGGATTTATGTGAAATGATGCTGATTATTTTTTTAATTGTTACGACATGACATATGGGTGCTGTGCTGGCTTACAAAATAGCTATTAGCACTACTCAGATTGATCTGATTGTGTTTACTTGGCAGATGGAGTGGTCCCTAGCAGAAGAACATATGCATCAACTGGGCGATTTGTCAAGCAGCGCTTGGTTGTAATTATGATGTCATATCTCCTGTGCTGATTTTTCTTTTCTCCACACTTTAAGTCCCTGTAATACAGAGGATGATCTTTCTGGAAAGCTACAGTCTTTGTTACAGGATGTCCACGCTGCTTGCATCTCTTTAATTAGGGAAACCAAGACATGAGTATATTTTAGTTTCTATAACTCTTTAATTTGGTAAGGCAGGATATGGTTTTAAAGAGCTCATTACTGAGATTTGCCTAGTTTCATCGTTTCCTACAAAACACCCTATTTGGATGTTTTGATCATCTGATTTTGGACAATTATTAGAACAGCTGCCTATGGATGAGCTCACTGAATGATATATGCTTTGCATTTCAGCAATTTAAATGTTAGTCTTCAGCTGTTGGGTCTTATTTTCAGCACAGCGCACACTGCAACACTCCTGCATTGAAGTAATTCAATATAACTGGCACAAGCTACAAAAGTTAGTGGAATACTGTCAGATCCCAATGCATTCACTATATCCAAGAGACACTGTGACTCATTTTGCAGAGTTGCCTGTGAAATGTGCATTTTTGCCCCTATATTTAAAATTAGTTTAATATTTCAAACAGCTGGAGTTTTGGCCCCTGAATCCCAAATTTCTCCAAATCTCTTAAGCTCCCCCAACTTATTATAAATGTTCAAGTAGGCCAATAGATAGCCAAATTTCGTGCTTCAAAAAAAATGTAGAAGGGAGCTGAAAATAAGGGGTTTTAATTCATGCCTTACCAGAAGAGTTACCAGGATTATTTCATAATGAAATACAGAAAACTCTTAAATGGTTTTAAGAGATTAAATAGCTCAAAAACAGGCTTATGCTTATATTTTTTAAGACCCTGAATGGGGAATGGAAAATTTGGGAAAGTGTTGTCAGTTGGTCTATGAGCTTCGCAGAAGAAATCAGCTGTTCTGACTAATGATAGCCACAAAATATCCAAAGATGTGATGGAAATTTCTTACTGATCCTAGAAAATATTTCAATGATCCTTCTAAGGTGAAAAGCGTTCCTGTGCATAGCCCATATATGGCTGATGTGCTAAGTAAGGCAAATTTATGTCCTCAAGCAAGATGATAAATGCTGCTCAACCTTCTACTCCTTATTGGTTCACAAATGAACGTCACCTGTTGCACCGGGCTCAGTTAAAAAGAAAGATGCTGCATGCGTTTCTAGCCTCTCTAATTCGAATGTGTTTAATCCACATCAGATTCTGGGTTAAAAGTAACTGAGTAGAAATGCAATTAGCCAAATGGCTTTATCAGAAACTAAGGCATTAGCATGCCCAACATGAGATTTTGCAGTACAAAACTACCAGTAATACATTAGTGCCAGAACTAAATCCGCACCATATTCCATTAAGAAATATCCATAGACGTAGCACAAGAAATGTAGCACTGTTGGAATCTGGCGATATGTTCATCTTGGAGACTGAGTACAAGTCAACATTAATTTGATGTAAAAATAATAATAATAATATAACCCTCTAGATATTCACTGAGAATGTGTCAGGAGCTGGCCTGGAGCCCGAAAAACCAAACCCTTGAGCTGAAGAATCGTTTGCAAATACTTATCCTAGTTCTCCCGTCTAGCACTATTCATTCTGATTTTATTTTCTTTCCTGGATATTTATAATTACCACCCATATTTATGTGGGCTTGCTGGCATGAAATGTATCCCGCCAGCCTATTAGCCACATTTCTAGGAATCCAGCACTTCAGCGTTATAAATATATAATTCCCCTCTACAGTAATGTCTGTGATCTCATTTTATGGCTGGAGCAATAATGCCCTGCAAATAAGGCTTCATAATGGGTGCGCTGACACAATCATGAAAATGGTGCTGAGATACAACCCATATTTGTAGAGCAGAAAACTAAAATATCTAAAATCCTTCCTTTAAGTAAAGTGGCCTGAGAGTTTTCCTACCTATTGACTTCTGGATCAAGATCTTTAAAGCTACCACGTTGCTGCTCTCAGCACCGGGTATCGTCAAATCTCACTGAAAAAGCGTCCCTCTGTTTGACATGTAATTCAGCTCCCTTATTTTCTTCTGGATGGTTTGATTCGGTAGAAGGTCCTCCATCAACACACTTGAGACACGTGCAGTTCTTTAAAATCTGTCCAGGTGACAAATCTCAGACCAAAATTCACTATGGTAGAAATGCACTTTTTCACTCCGCAGGAAGGTTTTCTGCTAGCCAAGGGCTGGATGTTTCAGGTGATATAACAAGTCACCAAAACCCCAATGTCAGCAAATGAGCTAGTGGGTACTCAGTGTAACACATGGCCATTGCTGCCAGCTGAGCCTGTGTCTCGTGGTCTCTGATAAACGAGCACCACCACACAAGCCAAAGAAGAGAACAGCTAAGTACGGCACAAACTGGAGGCTGCTTCTTGCACGTCCTCAGGATGCAAAGAATGAGAATGGGAAGGCTGCTAAACTGCGATTTGGGGCATCTGACTTCATTTCTGTCTGAGATACTGAGTAATCAGGGTCGGGTATTTAGGCACCTAGCTCCTGCTGAGACGTCAAACTCTCGGTAGTAATTTCCTGCTACAGAAGATAGTTGCGGTCTACCAGGGTGCTACAATACCAGGAGAGATGGGTCTGTCTAAGTAGGAGGGTTACACTTCCTCAGTATTGACTATAGATATTTTCCCTTTTGTAAAATGATGCTTCTCCTTGGATTTTTGGAGTCAGGTGAGGAATAGGGGAACGAGCAATTTCCCATGACTTCTTAATCAACCATTTCTTCTTTCAACCTACTTTGATTAGTGTGTGCTTTGGCATGCCAATACTTGCACCCTGGGAAATATAAAATCCTGCCATTCAGCTCACGTTATGCTGTCTTCAAGTGGAAAGTAACCAATATGTGCTTGGAGGATCAATATTGACTGTTATCTCATGTCATTTTTTCTTGATATGAATACAATAAAATAAATTATTTATGTTGGGATTGAGCAGGGCTGAGCTAATAATTGAGCATGAATAGTTAATTTCATAAAAGTCTCCTTTTGGTCTCAATTTATGCATAATCTGCTTATAATTTTCTCAGATTTGTTCGTTGTTTAAAAGTATTTGACAATTACTTTCCATGAGTAATCTTTGGTTCACAGACTTCCTATGAAGTGTATGCTATAACTGATGTCCAAATACACGCTCCCCTAGAGTTTTATATAACGCTAATCACTCTAGTATCTAGGTGTTTCAGTAGCTATGAACTATCCTGATAACCTGCGATTTGACCAGCATGATACATGACTTCTGTGTGGGCAAAGATAACAAGGAATCAGGCTTCCCATATAAATACCTCCATTTACAACATCAATAGTTGCATTTCTACAGATAGCCTCTAACATGCATTTGAATTTCCCTTTTCTTCTAACAATTCTACCAAGCGTTGGTCCAGTTCCAGAGTAAGAACTGACCTAATACTGCCTTATAGGAAAATGAGGGTTGAAGGGACCTCAGGAGGTCACATCTAGTCCAACCCCCCTGCTCCAAGCAGGACCAGCCCCAACTATATCATCCCAGTCAGGGCTTTGTCTAGCTGGGTCTTAAAAACCTCCAAGGATGGAGACTGCACCACCTCTCTGGGTAACTTGTTCCAGTGCTTAATCACCCTCCTAGTGAGAAAGTTTTTCCTAATATCCAACCTCAACTTCCCTTGCTGCAGCTTAAGCCCATTGCTCCTTGTCCTGTCATCTTCCCCCACTGAGAACAGTCCAGCTCCATCCTCTTTGCAACCCCCTGGAAGGACTTGAAGGATGCTATTAAATCCCCCTTCAGCCAGAAACCCCATTTGGAAGCATGGCTCATCCATTACGGTGTTTGCAGAAGATAAATGCAAAAGGGAAACAAATGAAACAAAGCAAAGACTCAATGGAAAAGGTCAAAATAGGAAAACATAAAACAAAAATCCAAATCAAATGTCATCAAAATAAAACACCTGATCAACCAAAATGAATTTCTTGCTTTCTAGTTATGTGCTCCATGCATAATTTCCTGTTTTTTTTATTTTGTTCCATATCAGGATGGGAGAAAAAAGTAAAATATGGATATCGCAGGAAATAGAAAATGCCAGGACTGTACAGTTCTCCCAAAAACACCAGGCTCTGCCTAGGTACAAAGTTCTGCTTGTGGAGATATAATTAAAGGATAAGGAAATAAAACAAGTTACAGGCTCTGCAGGTCTGCTCTTAACTGCATGGTAATTGTTGCATTTAACTGTGTAGTTTATATTCTAAGTAGCAGGACTCTTTCAACAGCAAAATCTCCTTACCACTATACTTGATAACACGAATGGTCGAATCTCCCTCCCCAAATCTGGTGATAGGAGTCAGTCGGACTTCGTAGGCTTCTGGCTTGATCAGCTCCGTCAGGTTGTATGTAATTAATTCTCCTTTCTGAATGTTCCCATTCACTGTAATCTCCTGCTCCCACCAACGCTGCTGCCCAGCCTGAAATCAAAGGAACAATGCAAGGATTAAAACTTTTTGCCCAGGCTCCACCCTTTGATCTTGGATCAACACTGCAATGGTAGGCAGAAGTGCTGTGCTGTGACTAGACTTCTTTAACATACAGCTTAGCATGGGCAGTGCCATTTCCTTGATCAGACAGGAACCCACAATCCTTCCTATGCAGCTTCCATGAATGTATACATGAAAGCCATTTGTACAATGAATGTATACCGTGCTGCAAATCCTAAGAACCAATGGTTCCTACTGTCTGTAATCTGGGGTTGAACGTTTTAACGTGCATTGGGAAGACCTAAATTAAGCAGCCCAGGCTAGATTTTAAAAGGCATTTAGGCACCTAAACTTTCACATATGTACTCAAGAGCATTAGACAATCTCTCTAGGCACCTCTCAGGGTCTGTAAGTGTTTAGCGCTTTTGAAAATCTGGTCATAGGTTTTAAATCCAGCTGAGAGAACGAATTAGTTTGGTAGACAACTGTCGGTCATCTGGATCATGGTGTAGACATAAGAGGTCTAGTCAGGTGCCTGATGAATATGCTTGTATGGAGTCTCGCGACCATCGCACCAAGACCTTCAATGCATACACCTAGGCAAGAGTATGGAGGAGCGGAGGCTGCCCTAGACCTACCATCTCCACTTCAGCCCACTGAGACACAATCCAAAGGCCAGACCGCGTCCAGACATTCAGGGCCTCGATGGCTGTAGCTTCTGCTGGAGCAGCAGATTAGAACTGCTGGCGACTGCCCAACACTGCAGCAAGGGCACGTTTCTGTTAGGGTGATGGCCCTTGGCCTTTGGGTACCCACAAGGCAATGGGGGCTAGGGTTTTGAGGCACCCTATACTCCCTTTACTCTGGAGGTTGCAACGTTGTGGTGTTTTATATGAACTACCCCACCACGAGCAGCCCCACCATGTTGCCACCAGGCCCTCCATTTGGATGCAGCTTACGGTCATACCCAGCATCTCACTTAGGTTGATGAATGTATTAAATGCAGCTTCTTTTAGAGCCTGGCCACTCAGCTGATATACACAGAGGTCCTATATCTGTAGGGCCCATTGGCTTGCAATGGCCTTTCCAAGTGTGGCTGTTGTGCACACACAGACCTTTTCCATGGCCATGTAAAAAGATGCCCTTCTGCCAGGTTGCCCAACTTCTTCTGTGAATTTAGAGCCTAGAGTTGCTAACCCTCCCGGACTGGCCAGGGGTCTACCAGAATTGGCATTGATCTCCTGGTGACTATTGAAAACAGTCCGGGAGATTGCTACCGTGAATGGGTTGAACAGTAATTAATGACATTACGTTATGCTGGGGAAAAAAAATAAATTTCCCGGAATAGCTTCAGTCATAGTTGGCAACCCTATTAGAGCCGTATCACGTGGCTGGGTGCGATGGCAAAATTAAGTGCTTTCAGAGCGGACATTGCTGCGGCAGAGCGAGCTTGGGCTCTTTTCCTCCTTGTCAACAGAACTGTTCACTCAGCTCCAATCAGTTACACTTCTTCATCCCTATTAAAGGCAATGAGGTTGCACATATGTCACTTGGGGCATAATTTGAAGATAATGAGAATGTACAGGAGTAACGGAGAAGGCGCTTTGGCTCCCAGGCTTTTACCACTTTTGTTGATGAGCGAGAAGGAAATAACCAGTCATTAACAGCCCCGGTGCACAATTATTAACAGCTCAAGTAGCCTCAAAGATGGATGGCTTGAAAAGAACAATGAAAAGTCAATACGAAGCAAACAAGGAGCCTGTTTTATTAAAAAATAGGGTATAAAGGTATTTTTACATCTTGGAGGCTGTGCAGTATTTTCAACAGCTAAATCAATAAACTTTGTTTTATTCTAGCACTTGACCAAGAAATGAAAAAAAATCTAATTAGAAAGAAAGTGTCACATGAAGTGAGAGGTACATTGTCTCCTCCACACTTCAAATGGTTTATGAATGGCCAGGGATACTCAAAACATAGGCACTTTGGGCAGCACAGTTACTTAACGTTTCAACCGTACCTGAAGATACATTGGCTTATTACCGGCACGTTGTCCAGGACACAAAGGAAGCAAACTCATTAAATATTTACCACACATCCCAAGGGAACTCAGTAGGTGTTAAAATGCGATGTTCTCCACAACTGATTATACAGGCCTGCTGCATTGATGACATTATTTATTACAATCTCCTTAATACAGAGCTTCATGTCTATTAAAAAGCAGCAACAAAAAAACCTCCCTGTTTCTCTGGATCTTTAATTTGAAGCTGTGATAGATGTAAACACTTAGTTATTTGGGGAAATTACCCGCTAAACGAGTCACCTTTAACCCCAGGGAAGGAGCTGCATACCGATATTGAAAGTGATTGCTGGGAAGTCTGAATTTGCATGAAGGGCAAAGAAATGAGGGCTGTTGTGTTAATGAACCCATCACACACACACACACACGCGCGCGCGCTCCTCAGATCAAAATGAGGTGAAGAAAGAAATGGAAAACCATAAAGATCAATCCAAAACAAGGGGGATTTTTTAAAAACAAAATTCTAGTTCCCAGCCTCTTTTGCTCTCATTGAAATCAATGGGCTTTTCAGCATAAGTTTTGATGGGAATGATATATGGGTTTTTTTATTTTATTTTTTTGAGGGGGATATATTTGTATTTTTTTATTTTATTTTTTTTAAGTCCTAAGGTTTTGATTCTGTACATGCTTATTGTATGCATCACAATACTTATGTGAACAGCCCAATTCCTTCAGGGGACCGATGCTTGTGATTTACGTTACACACAGGTGAAAGGCTGGGAAACAAAATTAGGTTGCTGGCGTTCAGTTAAGAAAGACCTGCAGTGGAAAGAAGTATTAGATCTTCTAAAACAGAAGTCGTCGGAACAACAAGCCGTATTGCCTCCTGACACCACCGGAAGAGGCAGGAGTGTTGTTGCTTATTGCAAAGAGTTAATGTACGGGGCACGGAGCTCGGCTCTTCCAAACTGGTCCTCACACTGAAAAGCTCTCTACTGAAAAGAGGCAGACAAGGTTTTTTGGGTAGATGTGATATCTTGTGTTAGACCAATAGTGAAAGATCTCACCTAATAATAATGATAATAATGCTACTATGACTACAACTGACAAGGTTTTTTGGGTAGATGTGATATCTTTTATTAGACCAGTAATGAAAGCTCTCACCTAATAATAACAATACTAATGCTACTATTACTACTACTGATAATATACATAAAGAGAGATATCACATCTGCCCAAAGAACCTTGTCTGCCTCTGTCCTTAGAGCAACACAGTTACAACCAACAACCCTCTACTGAAAAGGTATCTTTAAAATGAAACGTGCACAAGACTGCTGCAGAGAAAGATTATTTATGGCATGGCAGTACCTAGAAGTCCATTAATATACAATCTGTTCATTCCCCGGGTCTATCAGAAGAAACAAGAAATTGAAGTGCTGTGCAACAGCGAAGCAGTGATTTTTGTAGCAGTTTTTTACAAATAGCTATAGAAGAGATGCCGGTTACAAAGTGAGGTCTTGAAGAGACATAGCCTAATTATTCCCTTGCTGTCCCTGGATCCAATATGTTATTTCTGAATGCGAAATACTCTTTAATGTATTGGATAGTCCAGCAGAGGCAAACTGAAATTAGCTGTCATGAGGAAACATCTCTCTCTGCCTGTCTTGCTCCTCCTGCATAAGTGTATTTAAATGAAACATGGTGTCACTGCTATGTGTTTGCAATTAGCTTCACTATCCTGCCACCAGATTAACACCGCAACTAAGAGTTTTCCAAAGTGGACAGAGCTGTTTTGAACCGCTGGCGATAGGTCAGAATAAATCCCTGCAATTTTTTGAGACTGTATGAGAAACATTAACACCCGCCCCCACATCACACTCTCAACTTTGAGGCATCAGAACGGTGCAAAAAGGAGTGGCAAGGACACTATAGCTGGGACAAGTACATACTGCAGTTCATCAAGTCAGACAGTCCTAAAAATGTAGCAACCCCTCAAGGTTTATGTTGTGGGTTTAAAGCTTACTATAAAAGCATTCGGGTATGCATGCTGCAGCTAATATATCCTTCCTGGGATGCCTCTTGAAACCTCCTTATACAGGAGAGAATGACTAGTTCACTCACTGCAGCATCTTGCTTCTAAACTATGCAGGGCTATGAGAAATGTCCGACCGGCGGGGTGACGGGATGACACGTCCCAACAGACCGCATGGGTGTTCCCTACGCACCTGGCTCGGCACACCGGAGAAACACCGTACTGCCATGCAAACTGGAGACCTTCTTTAAACAAGTGTCAGGGAGAGATCTGTGGCCAGAAGTCCGTGTTAGAGGCTGGAGACTTGGATGTGTGCAGGGTGGAGCAGCTACACTGTACCTTGAGCTCATGGCTCATTTTGAGGGGCAAAGGATTTGTACCAAAGCATATGGGACTGAATTGGACCTTAGAGTTCCTATAGGCTCATGCACGCTGGTCAGGAAGCGGTGCAGATGGAGCCGAGCAAGTCAGCAACCGTTCCAGTTAAAATAAAGCAGAAGAGGAAGCTGAGGTTACAAGGGAAGAGATTCTGGAGGCAAACACCTTGTCCCTGACAGACATTTCTCAGCATCCCCAGCCACCATCTAGCACGGCCCAACTTGGCCTGCGAACTGGAGCGGCAGGACCACCGGACATCACTGGGTGGGGAATAATGACATATTATTACATATTACTATAGAGGGATGCTATCCTGCTGGGGTCTGATCCTGCATAGATCAATATGAAGCCTCTGAACAGCCCCATGTTTGAGTGCTTAGCAGTTTTCAGGCCCAAGCCCTATGTCAGAAGCAAGCAGGGGACATCAGCCCTTTGCTTTCAGGAATGCAGAAACTACCAAAATTAGAAGATGTAATACTAATCAAATGTAATGCTAATCAAATGTCTAGCCCTTCATCATGCAAATGCAATCCATGTTACCTTGATCACATGAACAGCTAGGAG